TAATTATAAAAACGAGTTAATTAAAGTTTATCACACTTTAGAAATTGTTGATAAAAAGCTTATGTGTAATATCATTTACTATCAATTTTAAATTATTTAATTGTAATTATAATATATAATTTTAATTAGTATTATATTCACTTTATATTTCTAAAAAGTAAATATGTGAATAAATTTTAAGTGAATAAATTCACATTTAATTGCATTTAACATTATAATATAATTAACTCTACAATATTGTTGCCTTTATAATCATGACTTGTTTTCTAAATTTGAATAAGTGCAAGCCACCTTCGCCTTATTTTATGGAATTAAATCTGAAATTCCAGTTTAATTCAATGGCTATAATTTCATATTATCGATAATAAATTAATACAATAATAAAATAAACAAACGATTAAATGCTTGAAAAAATTTATTTTAAAGTTCTGATATAAATTAGTTGAATTTAAATAATTATTTTATAATTATGTATAATTTTCAAATAACTAGTCAAATTTTATAATTTATTACAATAAGAATGATAAATTTATGTCCATAAATTAACTCGATTTGCACAATCAGTGCAATAGCATCGGCCATCGGGCCCTTTGATGGCCTCCCCGTGTCCAGTGCAATTATATCCCGCGCAGTTATCTGTAGATTGGTGTTTAATAAGTAAGCGATTTAAGTTATTAAACTTATCATGGTATTCTAATTTTTGTTTACTAACCCCTACACATTACGCCGTCGTATGTAAAACCTTTATTACACACACAGATCGGAAGTGCCTCATACGTGTTATCAGCCTTTTGCTCCACAGACACGTGACACCAACCATTGGCCTCACATTTGCCCTCACATACTTTGTTCACTATAGGTGTAAATGTAAGTTACACTTAATAGTACAAGTATAGTAATGGAATTCATTGTGTTCAAAATTTAAGCAAAGTAGAATTTAAAAATAATATGTGATAAATAATTACCCGCGCATGTTTCAATATCGTGGTAGTTGTAATAGAGGTTGTTATAAACCTCGAGAGGCATTCTGCTGGTGATAGTGAATGATGTGAGTGGTGTGCACCTACAACTATACAATGAATTTCCCGCAGGGTCATTTTGACATGTTGAATATAGGGGGCATAACGTGGAGATCGATTCGCAAAGCTAATCATATTTTATTAAGTTAAACGTATTTAATTTTAAATTTAATTTTGTATCAATTTTATTTTGTTGTTGTTGAAATGTTACTTTTGTTGTTTACTAAATTACTCTCACCTTATGCACTGTCAGTTGGGTTTTGCCGACCTCCTTTGTTTTAAATAGTAAACGTTCTGGAATAGCGGCGCGAGGGGGGTGGGGCGTTACTTCTGGCACAGTCATGAAGCATTCATCCGGATTCTTAAGACCAGTCAACGGATGACACCTGTGCCCCAAATATTGACCAAGAGGTATGGGCTTTTTGATTGGATCGACCCCTTTCTTGAGTACAGCCGTAAAGTCGCACGACATATAGTCATCAGATGTACACTTTGTGAGCCGTATTGCATCCTTTGCCGCCTCAAACTCATACACACCGGCCAACAGTCTGACCACTTCTGCCTCAATCATATCGCGTTCGTAAGCCTTGAGTTTTTCTGCTGAGCTCTTGTCAAAGAGGGCGCCATTCAATGCGTTCGTCGATTCGATGTCTCTGTAAATGCCGGCCCAGTCCTGCATCGGAGCGTTTTCGTATAGCATTAGACTGAACGCCGGCTGTAACGGCATCTCAAGCTTCGCGAATGGGAGGTCATTTTTAATGGCCAGGGTAAATTTCATGGTAAATTCAGTGGCCATGCATTTGCCGCCAGACATTATAAGTCCGGGCCGACACACACAGAAGTCCTCGAGCTTTTCGCCCACAAGTTTGACGTCTTTGTTAGGATTGCAGTCGGCGTTAATGCGATTGCACTGTAGGTCACGGTTCTTGAAGTTGCATACGGGCTGACAAAGTTTGTTCATAGCTTCCTGTATTGTGCCGACCGGACACACGCACTCATACGGGTGATCGAAAACGCTTTTCGGTTCAGTCAATCTGCACAGCGCGTGCTTACCATCGCAATCGTTTCGTCCGGCGCCTCCCTGTCCGCACACGCCCTGCAATACACACGACATTTTGTCGGCGCTTTGAACGTAAGGCGCGTCGCACAGGCAATACCGGCGTCCGGTATCATCCGGTTTGTCCAGTTTGGCAGCATTGCCTTCCAAACAATAAATACCTTTATCGTCTGGCAATGGAAAACATTGTTAACATTATATGCCTTTACAATTATATTGTGGTAAACCAATGCTTACCGCGTATTTCGCACTGTTGGCCGTCGGCCGTCCACTCCCAGCCATTAAAGCAACGATGACTATCATCTTTTCCTCCGTCGCAAAAACAGTTGAGAATTCCGTTACATTTGGTACACGTCTTGCCCGGTGTTAGGGCACAGGTGTCGTTACTTTGTGTGTACATCAATGCATTACAGCCGCACTTATAGCCCCTGACGTACGTGCTATGATCGCCGTCTTTCTCGTCCACGTCGTCGTTCTCGCACTTGTGTTGACACGTGTGAAATGCTGGGGAATCGCATTTGCGTGATGTGCACGTGACCGACCGTCCGCTCCCTGATTATGGTTATATATTTTGATTAATAACAGTGTTTAAAACAAGGTTTACATAGTGATGCTATAACTTAACCACAATTTGGTTAATGCTTATAGTTATTGATTAGCATTCACAAACTATGATTGTATTTAAAATAGATAAGAAGGATAAACTTAAAATTAATCCCATTATGATAAGTAGAGTTCAAAATATTCGGAAATTCCCAGATTAAATTAACTAATATAATGCTCGGGAAAAACATTCAGTTAGTTTTAGGTGTAATAATATTACTAATATTACGATAGATTTTTCTACTTGAATTTTTCCGAACATTCCAGATTTTGATTTATTTTGAAACAAGGGTAACACAGCGATCTACACATTTAATATGCGTCCATAGGATTAGCACTCCCCATAGACTTATCATTGCCTATGTTAAACATATGCCATAGACCTATGCTGTAATTCCATAGAAACCCATTGAAAATTTTTCCCAAGAGATTAACATTGACATAGACTTACCATTACCCATGTCATAAACTTAACATTAGTCTCAAAGAATTAACATTACCCAATGGATAACATTAGCCATATGTTAAAGTATAGCCATTACGCTGTAATTCCATGTTAAATCCCAAAAGCGGGGGAGGGAGAGGAGTAGCCTGACGATCTTATAAACCACAGTATTCATAGCTGAATTGTGGTTCAGAAAATGTTATTTCTCATTAAAAATTTTAATTCTTCTGTAAAGTTCAGATTATTTGTAATAAATGAATTATATCAACGCCAAACTCTAAACATGTCACTATTCGTATATTCTTGTTGGTATTGAATGTTTTTAGAATCTGAAAACAGAATCAAATTATCTTTACTAGTTCTAAAGTAATGGGGTATACAATGATAATAAATATAATTCAGGTATAAAAATTAGATTATTTTTGATAATTGAACCAAATTAACTAATTAATTAAATTATTATGGCATAAATAAATACCCCCAATTCTTTTAATAATAAACTATTATGGATGTTTATAAATATTGCTAATAAAATCTAGTTACCATGTGTCTCAAACCCAGGGGGACATCTGCACGTGTATTGGGTGGGGCTAATGAAGTCGTGTTCGCACATGGCCCGATCGTCGTCACAGGGCTTTTCGTTGGCTAATTTGGCAATCTTTCTGTCGGCGACGTTGCAAATATCAATCCTTGTGGTCACTCCCGTCACCGGGTCTTTATAATAACCCTCTTTAGCCACACATACAGCGTCTTCTGCCGGTCTGTCTTCTGTCGGTTCCACACAATTCTCGGTAACTTTATTACACCCTTTGGTGAAACATTTGGGCAGATTTTTGCAACTATTTTATCAAATTAATAGCATTTTAATAAAAACAAATATATTTATTTGTAGTTTGAATACTCACTCCATTACATCGTCGCGCGAATCCCAATAATATTGTTCCACTTTAGGACACGTGCACTGAAATCGATCATTTGATGGATCTATTTCACATTTACCACGTTTAGAATCACTCGCACAATAATCGTCGCCTTGTTTATTTGGAAAGCGCTATTGAAATGTTTGAAATGTTATACACAATTAATTTCATTTTTAACATAATGGTGTTATCTTAAAAACTATAATTTATTAATTTGTTTATACAAAACCAATTGACATAAATTGTATAAATTAATGCAAACTTACATTGTATAAATTTGTGCAATAATTAATTCGTTCGCATGTATCACCATAAAAAAATTTGCGATTGCATTCGCAATAATATGGTAACTCTGGATGTTCCTTCACAAATCGTTTGCACACTCCATGACTATCCCTTGTGGCGCAATTAATTAGGGAGTGTTTCTCGGGTTCAGCGCACGGGTCGTTGAGTGAGAACTGATCGATTGTAAACAACTCTTTGTTAAGTGTATTATAAGTGACTTTAATGCCAAACTTCCAGGCCGTGCCGGTCGGCACTTTGATCTTTAGTTGATTACCAGTAGTAGTGACCGCCTATTATTATTAACATGTTAAGAAATTAATGATCATTATGTATACATAATTATCTATGATAAATATATGTTACGTTTTGAATGACTTTGCTGTCGCCGATCACAGTGTCCACAGCCGACGCCTCCTGTAGTTTGTCGTCAAACGTCACGAATTGAACGGCAAATCCCGTGAAGTCTTTTGACGTGAATTTAATCCATACGTCCACCGAATCGGTTGTCTTTTGAACCCATTTGCTGACCATATATTGGGCCACATCTGACTGAGTCGTTGCTGTAATAATTCATCATATTATATAAGTTTAATATGATTAATTAAATAAATAATTTATAAAAACGTGTTTGTATATTGCTTTAATAGTGGTTGCTGTAATATATTGTATAATAAACTTAAACTAATAAATAATTTATTATAAGTGTATATTGCTAAAATACTGCTATAAAATTGTGTAAAGGTATTAATTAATGGCTTACGTTTAAAAGCTACAATGTTGCCTTTATGATTCCAAAATGAGCTTGGTCCGTGGAATGTTTGGAATATTTTATCAAATGTAGCATCAGGATCAACTTGTGGTGTAGGAGGTGTTGTGGGCGTTGGATTAATTAACGGTAAATATGCAAGAAATTTGCTAATTGGATCGGTTGTGTGACCGCTCGGTATATAAATAGCCAGTCTATTGGCCGGTTTAGTCATCACTGTTTTGAACACAATTGTAAAGTTATTCTCAATAACTGGTGTTAAATCTGAGACACAAATAGACTGTTGGTTGAAGTCTTCACCCGAATATCGTCCAAATATATACCCCGATGTTTGGTCTTTGTATGAAACGACTACTTTTGAGTCCGCGTTTGCGAAGTATTTAAAAGTATAACAATAGTCACGACTGGTGTCAAAGTTGTTGAATGTTTGCGTCAATTTATCGCCCGATATTTCCGACACGTATAACGGAAATACATCTTTGTATTTAACATCGTGTGTTAATTGGGGCTCAAATTCATTCGACCATTTGGTTATATTAGTATCAAATGTAAAGAACTCACACCCTGGTGTTTTTCCACCCAAACCACATAATAACTTTTTATTGGTGTAGGTCAATTTGCTTAAACATCTAGATTTGACATTTATTTATAGTAATTACAAATATTTAATAATTAAAATATATAAAGCTTTAGCTATATTATTAATACTGATTAAACTGATAAACAATATAAATAAATCATATATTAGACATGGTATTCTATAAATAAGGTATTTTGCGAAATCATTTACCTGTGATTAACATAATTTTCTTTGTACTCGTTGGGACAATTGCATCTATAAGCTGGCCCAGTTTTATCTTGTTCACAATTGGTCACATCATAGGAAATATCTAGTGCATATCGCGGCAACGCATTGCACGTTTCCCTCGCCTATAAAATTAAAGCAAAAAATGTTAATAAATAAATTTGTTGTATAATAATGTTTGTTAATTACATCGACATCAGTGCATCGTGACCGCTCACAATTCTTGCCATAATGTGCGCTATTGCATACACACACGTAGTTGTCAGGTGAGTATTGATTGGGTGCAACCGGTGCCTCACAAGTGCCCTGATTTGAGCAAACATTTCGGATTTTTCTATCGCACGGATCACCAATCGATACGTCAGTGACCGCCAAATCTACAGTCTTAGGGGTAGTGTCGGCGTTGGTTAACGTGAATTTAACGACTAGTTTGAAATATTGAATTTTATTGTATTGAGTGATTTGTAGGGATTGTTCGATGTCTTTGTCGGCCACAAACGCGACGCGAGATAACTGCAGAGAAGACATGTCTTGTGTGTCCCAAAGTATTCCGGTTTCTATTTTCACGGCATTTATATTCGCCGCTAATATTTTGTCGATAGATATTCGCGGTTTCAACGGATCGTTAATTTTGGGATTGTATTCAATCCAATCACTCATTAAATATATGGGTATTTCGGTTGTAGTTTTCGGCGGAATTGTGACTGAAATAAATTTATTTTAAAATATTAATTCAATATTTGTTTGGAATTGAAATTAAATCTAATTTGATTAAGTAAATAATATTGAATACATGTGTTTTTGAATTTTGTGCCGTCAAATGTCAATATAGTGTCTCTAAACAGATAGTCATTTCTCCACCGATCGGTTGCCGTCAAACCGGCGATTAGTTTCATATTCATTGTGCCAATCAATACGGACTCTACACTCCACGTGAACTTTGTTAGCGAAGTCGCGTCGTATTTGTCGGTCATAGATGTGATGGTTAAGAAGAAGTTACTAGCTGGTTTGTACATAAAGTCTCTCACACAGAACTTCACAACATGACTGCCCTGTAGTAATTTTAAGTCAACTAACTTTCTGACTGTCAACCCTATTTGATAGTTAACTGTTATACTATGTGTCGGGTTTACAAGAGTGTAATCTATTGTGGAGCATATGTCTACTCTATCGGTACTAATTTCAGTAAATTCATAGCTTATTTCATTGGATGGATTGTTTGGATAGTAATCGGTTCCAACTTGTGTCCAGCCTCTATCCAATTTAATTACAGTTTCTTTACACACTTTGGCAGCCCTATATTGGTTAAAAATTTACATAAAAATTAATATGATATAAAATAATTATAAATAATATTGATAAAATTGAGCATTATAAGTAATTAAGTAGTGTTATATTAAACGTTTTACTTGTCCCAATTTAAAACGTTGAAACGGGTTGGATCCTGACAAACACATCGGTACACTTTATTCTTGTCGCCCATATCTCCGACCACATGTGTTGAGCCCTCACTATCGCACATCTTTGACGCCACACTCTGTTCGCATATTAGTTGCCCAGATTTACCCGTCTATTATTTAAAACAATAAATATTTAGTAAGTTTTTAGTAATATTTTGATTAGATTTATATTTACATCGCTTCTAACCATACAATAGTTGACTTTCTCGCACCGGTCGCCACTATAGCCGTACAGACACGGACACACATTGGGTGCGCTCGACACTGCCTTACTCGTGCACTTACTGCCTGTAGCGCGACCAACATTCTCGCACTCACTGTAGGGCACTTGACACGGGTCGCCAAATGTGATTAATTCTATCTGCGCCTCCAACGGGCCTGTCATCAGTTCGTGTGCTTCATAATTGATGTCAATCTTAAATGTGATATATTTAGTGTCGGGATTTGCATCCATTACAAACGAATAAATCCAAGTGCTGGGCGATCCCAATCGTTGATTTGGATCATGGATATCTTTAACCACATTAATGATGCTAACATCTACGCAGTGAGCAAGGTCGTCGCATACTTTGGGCTTTATGTTGAATGCGCTGAAAGCACGCGAATCTTTTAATGTCAATTTATATTGTCCGGGTCTCATATGAGTGGCCAGTTTTAAACTATATTTTATCCAATGGCTGATTAGTTGGGTGTTTGCGGTTCGCTCATCCTCTGGTGTTACTAAATATTCAGGTTATTTATTGTTTAATTATTAATTTCAATAAACATTGTAGGTGATTAGCATTTTGATTTAAATAGGATTTATTGTGTATGTAACTTTATATTATTATTTAATTAAAATTACCTCACTCTATCCTATAAGTATCTAATGTGCGTTTAATCTACTTTACCTGTAATAATAAATGTATTTCCGCTCGTCTCTACGTTTCCATTAGGAATTATTACGGGCCATTTTACTGTTGAATCATAGTAATTTCTAATAGTACCAGGTTTGAATAAGTCTGTCCACGCGGTCGACGGGGTTGCGATATGTTTTTCCAGTTTTATATACAATTCATTTGTCCTTCCGGTTAGACCTTTAATACTGACGTAAACGTACGGTATTTCATGTGCCACAGAATAAGAGCTGGCGCTCACAGCCAACAGATCCTTCAAGCATATGGTGCTCGTCTCGGAAAGCAAACCACTGGATATTATTTTGGGTTTAATGGAAAGTATTATATTTTGATCCATGGTAAAATTTTCGTTCGGCAACAAATAGTGTACGTTAATAACGGTCTCTTTTCTCGCTAAATATATGAACGTAAAACACGTATCGTCTGTATTCAAACCGGTGACCTCTGTATTGAAAACATTGTCTTGTTTTGTGAAGCCTTTACCGCTCGCGTCCTGAAAGCACTCTTCACTAATCGTATGCATATCACTGATAGCATCGCCTCTGTATATATTATATATTAGAAAACATGTGGATATTTAGTGAATAATATCTAACCGGAGTTAATAGTGGGTTAAGCTTTTAAAATAGGTATTAATTTTATATTATGAAATGTGCAACTAATATCAAATTAAATGATATAGCTAAATTATTAATTTAAGTTAAAATGAACAATTGAATATTAGTTAATTGAGCTTACATTTTGCATTTACTAGGATCAATCGGTCCCCTCAATGTAACCATAGTGGCGCGCGAAGAGTTACCACGTTCTAAATACATTTCACTGGCAAAATCCATACTGGCCATCGTTTTTGGTTCAGACTGTGTTTCATACTCCACTGTTAATTAGGTATATACAATAAGCATGGTAATAATATCATATTAGTATTTGTCGTTAAATTCTATCATATCATAAATAAAATGAAATATAAGGGGTTTCAAAAAAATTTGGCCGTCGCGTTTTGGCGATTACTCAGGAACTGTTGAGGTGACACTAGTGTTACTTCACACATATATAGAGCCATGTCGGGAAAATTTTTTGACATAAAGATTTTCTAAATCACGTGACTATTTTTATGAGAAAATGATGTCATTTCGAAAT